GGACTTCATCCATACCCCTAGCTTACCCCCATGTGCAAAGAAACAAATTTTGTTCTTTGTAAATTTAGTCTTTATAAGGGAGAAAAAAGGCCAGGAGATGGTGGTGCACGCCTTTAATCCCAGCACTCGGGAGGCAGAGGCAGGTAGATATCTGTGAGTTCGAGACCAGGCTGGTCTATACGACCTTGTTCCAGAACAGCCTCTAAAGCCACAGAGAAACCCTGTCTCGAAACACCCCCCCACCAAAAAAAAGAAAAGAAAATTATTTTTACTCTATAGGATAAATTTTGTGTAGCTTTGTCTCTATTTCAGTAATGTCTAGCTCTTCTTACCAAGAAAGCAGTCTGCTAAAGTTGTCCAGTTTAATCTATCTGCCATTGGTTGGGCTTCTCACATTGCTGCTAAGAACAGGGATTTTGTTGTTGTTGCTAGAGTTGGTTTTGTTTGCTTAGCCATGATTATGCCTCTGCACTATTTAAAACTCTGTTGGCTCCTTTGTCAACTACGCAGCAGTTCAAGTTGTGCAATGTTGTGTGCACATCTCCAGTCTTATCATTTAAATTTTACACTCCTTCACTGTTGTCATAGCTTGTAGTTACAACAGTGGCATCTCATAAGTTGTTAACCTTTGCTCAGTTTTGCAGGTATATCTACCTAGAACTCTATGCACAAGCATAAATTAATTGATGTTCATCGTTGTTCTCCAAAGTTGTGACCTCTAGGAAGTGTCCTCCCTTCAGGCACAATAAACTGTCTTCCTTCCATACCTTCCATTCCTGCACAGTTACTAATAGTGTACTCTGATGAAATGACTGATTAATTTTATTTATTTTATGTATCTAGGTGTTTTGTATATATGTATGTCTGTATACCACATGCATGCCTGGTGTCCTCAGAAGCCAGAAGAGGGTATCAAATCTCTGAAACTGGAGTAACAGATAGTTGTGAACTACCATCTGGGTGCTGGAAATTGAAGCCAGGTCCTCTGGAAGAGCAGGCAGTACTTTCTATACTCTGGTACTCAAAGATAATCTTAAGACTGTCTTGCCTCAGTACATTTCCATCAAAATATTTCAGATATCTGTTTGCTTTGTGCTTCTCCAGTTGTCCTGAATGTCTTGGTTTTTTATTGAAGAGACATTTGTGCTTATCTTTTGGAAACCAAGACTCCCATGAGATGACTAAAGTAACCCGTTATATTATTTACCTGGCATTTATCATTTGTACACAGAACAACACTTCAGGTACTTACACTCCTCGCTTATCTGTGTGGAAGCACCTACCATTTGGTAGGCAGTGTGCTGGATGCTCAGTGGGAAGTTCCCAATCTAGTGAGGACACAGTCATCCTCCAGGCATAAGTGCTGTGGTGGAGGTTAGCTCGCTGTGCATTAGAAGAAGGACAACTTGTTGATATTTGAAGGATGATTTTAATCATCCAGGTAACATAGGAAACACTAAGTAAGGCAGGGCGGTAATGGGAAAGGTATTGGGGTGCTTGGATAAAACGTGCACCTTATAACAAAGAGTGTGGCACTTTGGAGGTACAACAAGGAGTTCATTGCAGCTGGAGCATAGAGAGAGGGGAGGTGAGAGCTGAGCATCAGCGTGGAAACCACCATGAAAGGCCGATGCCTTTGTGTCTGTATTAGCATTTTCTGAGGCACTGTTGGAGGGTTTGAAGCATGAGAGCGACCACTTTTGTTAGCACTGTAGACAGGGAATTAAAGCAGCTAAGCCACCAGATGAGGAGCCCACTCCAGTAGTGCAAGAGCTGAGGAGAGTGGTCACAGTGATGAAATAGAACGTAGGGATTGCAGAGGTGAGAAGGAAGTCGAGTGAGCAAACCTCACCACCAGATGAGTGTGAGAGGAGAGGACTGGTGGCCAGTGAGACAATGACGTCACGTAGATCTCACCTAAACAAATCTGACAAATAAGGTGCATTCAGAAATCACTGCATTAGATCCCACAGTTGTTCAATGGCAGAAATAGTGTATGTGAATATCAGATTCTGAATAACTCCGGGTTATCATATGCTCAACTTCTCAAAAACAGAAGAAACTAGCACTAAATGTATAGAAGTTTCCAAATATTTTCTTCTCTGGCTCAGAGCATATAATTATTGTACAACAGCCCAACTTTATCTGTTTTGCCAGTCTCTCTGAAAAATATTTTCTTCCATTTCCTGGCAGTGCTTAGCTGGTTTCTCTGTTGCCACATAGAAACCATAGTGGTATGACACGTTGGCATGCAATAGCTACGGTTAGTACTTGGAAAGATCACACATGTTTGGCTTTGCTCATATGTTAGTTTGTACAAACACGTTGACTTATTAATAATGACTTACTAATGTCGTTATAACGTTGTAGTTATCTTCTGTGTCAATGATAAGTGCACTTTAAAGGGTTCTAGTGACTAGAATATACTCTAGCTTCTAATTGAATCTGGCCATTCTTAGGAAATACCTCAGCATTTCCTTAAAGCTGCAAATGCTAGCCCATTTTGTAGATAAGAATATTGAAATAGCAACTTAGACATATCACCTCAGACTTCCCTATCTGATAATGTATTTCATATATCTGCTATTTCAAATGATACAGCTCTAAAAAGCACATTGACATGTCAGATGAATAGTTTATATAATCCCTTGTTTACAGACACATTCTAGAAGGAGGGGGGAAGCACCTGAAACACAGTATTATTATTTTTGTAAAAGAAGAGATAAAGAATTTGGAAACTATCCAAGTTTAGAGTGAATTTGATTCTAAGAAAGAAATTATCAGGGCTATTGATATCCACTGAGATATAAAACAAAGAGACACGTTCATTCATACCTTGACTTGATCAGTATCAGTGAAAACTCTTTGTCTACTTTTGCTTTTTTAAAAGTTCATATCAGTAATAAGCAGAAGAAACTCCTGAATTGGCTATGTAAGTGGTTCCTAGTGTCTTAATAATGAATTCAGTGTGACACAGCTTCAGAATAACTATTCTAACTGTACAGAAGTTCACTGAATGTATAGACTTTGAGTCTGGTTAATTTCACTGTCTGATGTTTTTATTTCTAAGTTTTTTTGTGATTAAGTTAATTAAAAGTTTAAAAAGAATAAGGAACTGATGAGTGTTGATATCTAAGATGTAGTAAATGTCCTAAATAATCTATTCAAATCACTAAGTGTAAATGTAATGTAAATTTTTGCATTAAAACTAGCCCTGTATACAAGCTCCTGGCCAACTATCCATTTTGACTGACACATTTAGGTGCTGTAGCTTACAAGCAACATAAATTTATTCCTCACAGTCTTGGAGGTTGGAAAGTCTGAAATGAAGGTGCCATGAGATGCGGTGTCAGTGGAGGGCCTCTTTCCTAGCTCATGGATGGTGCCATGAGATGTGGTGTCAGTGGAGGGCCTCTTTCCTAGCTCATGGATGGTGCCATGAGATGTGGTGTCAGTGGAGGGCCTCTGTCCTAGCTCGTGGATGGCGCTCTCTCTCACTGTACTCACAGTATGGAAGGCTGCCCTCCAGGACCTCTGTTGCTAGGACACAATCTCATATAAGAGGGGTCTGCCTTCATGATTTGTTTCCCAGCCTCACCTAACGGTACCACTTTGGTGATTAAGTTCCAATATGTAAGTTTTAGGGAGTAGAAATCATTCACACCATAGTATCAGCTTTTTTTTTCTTTTTTTAACTACCATCGTAAGCTAGTCAGGAGAAAATAGGAGCCACTGCCCAGTACTCAGGAGGCAGAGGCAGGCGGATCTCTGTGAGGTGGAGGCCAGCCTGGTCTACCGAGTGAGTTCCAGGACAGTCAGGACTACACAGAGAAACACTGTCTCCCAAAACAATAACAACAAAACAAAGGAAAAATAGGAATCTGTGATCTATATTGACAATGCATAGATGACAGATGTGCCAACAGATAGATGGGAAAGAAGCCAGTACAGTTCTAATAGGATGGTGTAGATAGAATGGTAAAGTTAGAAAATTGCTAGTTTGCAACTATCACAATGATCGGTTTAGGCAAAATTATCAGCAGATGCTAAATAGAGTTGGGCAGGCTGACATGTTGACAGAGAGCAGGATTTTTTCATAGTCTAATTTATCTTCCCACATACTGCTGCTCTGGTTCCAGGTACAGACAATAATAAAAATGAAACAAGAGTGAAAAGTGGAAGGTCTTTGGAAGAGGTTGTTGTGTGCGTGCCCTGGGAAGTGTTAAATGCCATTTTTTCATATTCACATGGAGTGTATGACCTGAATTCTCTCATAAGGAAATACCAGGCCAACCCCAAGAAGACAATTCTGTTTCAAAGTGGCTGTAGTCTTTAGAATGTCAGGGCCACAAAAGAGAAGATTGGAGTAAGATAAAACAAAACTAGTATAGATTAAAGAAAACTAGAAAAACATGGAAACAAAATGTAAGTGTGACCCACTACTGTATCTTAAAATAGAAGTGAAAACAACATATAAAAGGGCATAGTTACGACTGCTGTCACTCTTGAAATAATGGTGGTAGACTACATTAAATTATTGTGTTAATAATACTACTAATAATATTAAATTCCTCGAACTTAGTAATTACACTGTGGTCATGAGAGAGTGCCCTATTGTTAGGAAATGCACAGTGAAGATATAAAGAGCGGTGCTGGAGAGATGACTCGGTGGTTAAGAGCACTGGCTCTCTTCCAGGGGACCCCAGTTCGATACCTGTGACCTACATGACAGCTCACAGCTGTCTGTAACTCCTGTTTCAGGTGATTTGACAGCCTCAAATACAGGCAAAACACCAATGCACATAAGAAGAAATAAAGAGTAAAGAGACATGTTTTTGAAGCTATCAAATGTGTGTGTAGAAAGTATGATAGCAATATGTAGCATGACATTAACAGTTGGGGGTTTGAGTGTATACTATATAGGAGTCTCTACTTAAGTCTTACAGCTTTGCTAATTCTTTAAAGTTATTTCTAAATAAAATTGTGTTTGATGCCTTTAGCCCTTCTAAAGGCACAGAACGACGTGGTGGCTATGAAGATGCAGTCAGAGAGACTTTCAAAAGAATATGATCGACTCCTGAAAGAACACTCGGAGCTTCAGGTTGGTGACATGTATTTACAGATATAAAGGTTTTTGAAATAATAAATACTTAAATAAGCTATTTGAATTGTTTGCCCTTTACAAATTCAAATAATGTGCTTAATCCTGGCTTTAATAAATAACCAGAAAAGCCAGATGTACCTGAAGGGTAAAGATTAGGCCATTACAGGAAAATGTAAGATAACTATAATATAAAGAATTGCTAACATGATAATTTAAAAATATTCCACTTATGGTAAAGTTTTAAAGGAAAGAATTGATCTATAAAATAGTATTTAAAAACTGATCTTTAAAAAATGTGTTTCACCATCTGGAATGTTTGCCATATTTGTGCCAATGTAAGCCCAAAATTTGAAGTTTCATATCACATTACTCCAATCTTTGCTTTCAGTGTCTTAGGGAAAGAACTGTGGCATTCAAATACCTGACTTACACCTCCAAAGTTGATTTGAAGATGGGGGTGGGGGGTCTTGGTTAAAGCAGCTCTCAAATCTAAGACATGGATTTTCTTTCTCTGTCTCTAATTTAATCAAGAGTCATTTCCAAACATTCATCTGTAATAGGTAGGCTTGTCATTTTTCTCTTCAGTTGTCAACCACCACCTGAATTTACTTCCCAGCCACCCACCATTTGGAGGGGGGTCCCAGAAATCAAATCCAAGTACTAGTGCATGGTAGACAAGTGTTGACGCCCTGAGTACACTTTGGGGAAGGCTCAGGAAGAACTGCCTTGGCGCGTGACACAGAGGCATCGTGCCCAGATACTATGGGACACCTGTATCAGTCTTCATAGTCGCTTTATAGGTGTACTCTGCCGGAGAAAATAGTTGTTTGTACCTGCTTCTTTGGAAAAGAACCCTATCCTGGATAGACTAAGTGCCATGTAATACAGATTGGAACATTATTGAATAACACATGTAAACCTTTGTAGAGAGAAACCTTTTCCTTGCCAGCCGCTTTGGTTGTTCCCCACCAGTCGCCTGGGCTCTGCCACGTTGTAGTCCCCAAATAACACACAAGACACTATTAATTATGAAGCTGTTGGCCTTGCTTGTTTCTTACTGGCTAGCTCTGACTTAAGTATTTATCCCATAATTGTTTTTTTTTTTTTTTTTTTTGGTTTTGGTTTTACGAGACAGGGTTTCTCTGTTTTGGAGGCTTTCGGTCCAGCCTGGCCTCGAACTCACAGAGATCCACCTGCTTCTGCCTCCCGAGTGCTGGAATTAAAGGCGTGCGCCACCAGCGCCCGGCTTTATCCCATAATTGTTAATCTAAGTATTTCTCTTACCAGAGAAAAGTTCCGGACATCTTACTTCTCTGGCGGGCTACATCGTGACTCCCTGTGCTTCTCCTACCCAGAGTCCTCCTTGATTCCTAGTCCCACCTATCTTGTTTCTCTATTGGCCAACAGTGCTTTATTGACATATACACAGGACTTCCGCATTAAACCTTAACTTAATACCTGAGTGTATTCTGTTTATGAAGTTCCAATATGTATTCAGTGTGCTCTGGATAAAGCACCTGGCTAATGGTCTTATGTATATGTCAGATTTGCTTCCTTGACAACTTAGTAGGCAAAAATATTTTAGTATCTCTGTTTAGTGGGTAAAGATGTCAAGAGTCAAAAATTTTTACGTGGTTTGCTACCAGGTTAGCATTTAAAGCTAAGCATCAACATCAGGAAATCTTTCTCCACAACCTCCATCATTAGCTGGGTTCTTCAGCCTGTGCTGGTCATCAATCTGTGTATTCTTGGTTCCGTTCTTTCTACCCATGCCCTATCCCTTGTAGAAACGTACTGTTCCAGAGCCTTGCTTTCTGACTCCTGGGCAAATTTAGCTAGTGAGAGGCATTAGTAGAAAACTATCAACATTTCCTTCGTGGCCTCCAGCCTTTCTCTCCCTGGTCACAGTTCCAGTGGGAAGCCTCCATTTGCTGACCTTTATTTACCCATTCATCCCTCTCACCCCTCCAACCCAAGAGCGGTGCTGGCTTTCTGCTGTCGCCTTCTTTAGCTAACCCTTCCCACTGTTCTGTGTGCCTGCTGCTCATCGCCTGTAATGTAACTTCCTGCAGTGTCTGCTTAAAGGGCTGAGCTGCTCCTGTAGCCCCTCTGAACCACTTGACATTCCAGGTGCCTTGGCTACCAAACCAGATCTACTTCAAGAAATAGGAAAGTCTCTCTATAGCCCTTGCTATAAGATGCTTAGTTGATTTCTTACATTTTTCCCCTGCCCACATACCTAGCCCTCATTGTCCACTATGAAAACCTAAGACATGCTGAAATTTAGATGCCATTTCTTGGACCCATCTTCTCACAAGTAACCTTTAATATTCATAGTCTGAACAAGCAAAAAAGACTAGAAAACCATTCTGTAGTATAAAGGTAAATTTAGCTTGTCCTCATCAATTTTACTTCTATTGTCAAATCAGTCTTAGTAATTTAATTATATCCTAAGCTTTCTTGGAAAAACTTACACATTTTCTCAATTTTATATAATTGTGATAATTTGAATGAAACAAGTATAACAAGTATAAATATTAAAGTGGTAGAAAAACTGGTTTCTTTTCTGTAACCGAATCTCATTTTGCAGCTTTTAAATCTATTTGTGTTTCCCCAGCTGGGGCCCATCCCAGTCAAAAACATTAAATAAATATTAGAAAATGTTCCCTTCAAAACATACAGTCTATGTTTTTTCTTATTTGGCCTGATTGTCTTCTAGATAAGGAGAACCAAACAAAACTGACTAGGTATTACTTGCAACACAGACCATCAGCACTGGCTAATTTTTCAATTCATTTTGGAAAATCACCCTTCACATAGGAGATTTGCCTAAATTTAATAGCATTTTCATTAAACCTTTGATTTATATCTAAAGTGGTCATGGATGTAGAAGGTAATACGTTGTCATTCAAAATACCTCCTCTCATCCTGTCTTTTTAATTGCTTAATGTTAAGTTCTTATAAAAAGCCTTAGTACTCAGCCTTAACAAGAGGTAGTGTCTTTCTGTGTAAGCAGTCACACTCTGCAGTTTCGTTCTCTGGGATTTCTTCCTTGATAGACCATTTGCTTTCTTACTCCAAGTCTATTTCAGTTCCCATTGTTTTTGTTTTACTTTCCTTATCTTTTCCTTGCCAAAAGTCTTAATTGGGTATGCAATGGGGGAATTTGAAAAATTTTGTTTTCCTGGGGGTAACTGTGAAATGAGAGCAAAACAGATTAATATATGAAAAAAACAAACTTATCAAGAGACTTTACTTCCCCTCTGAATATTTGTAAACAAAACTCAGATTTTATAGTATTTAAGTTTTTCTACATTCTCAATAAATATTTTCAAATTTTAATTCTCTAATAGACAAAAGACAAATGTTTATGTCCTTGTGTCTATGAACTTACTATTAATCTATTATTGTTGTTGTTTTTTTTGTTACAGAACCGTTTAGAAAAAGACAATAAGAAAGCCCTGTGAATTAACTTTATAAAAGAAGATTATTATACACCTTGTCAAGAAAACAAATTTGTTATCATGGTAGCCACTAAAACTTTAAAAAAAAAGCTCTGCTAGCTAGCCACAGGCTCACATAGGCTATATATAGTACTGATGTTATCAAAATATTTGATAATGCTTCATATATAAAGTATGTGTTTTAGCTCTATTGAAAAATATAAGCATGTTGAATGCCATATTTACATATTGCTAATACCATTGATATATGGTGGCTCTCTACCCATAAAAGGAAAAATTCATTAGCCATTTGCTTCCCAAAATAGATCTGAAGTTGCATGTAGCCATTATTAGCCTTGAAAGCTTTGATGTATTTTCAGTAATAATCAGTGGTGGTGGTGAAAATGATGTTTGAAAACAGTACCCAGTCAGAAAATTTGTTCACAGGGAAATAAAGATAAGTAACCACAATAGCCACTGTGTTAACAGAAGAGAGTCAGAACAGGGAAAACAATGGCCGCAGGGCTTCTTTAAGCCTGGGGAGTCCATGACTTACAGCACTATTATTAGCTGTGTTTTGTTACTATGTTTCTGTGCCTATTAGACTATTTTTAATTGATATTTGTTTAGTTGTATACAATCAATATTCTATCTTTTCAAGTTCATCTAGCAATAGAATTTATGTTCATTTGTGTAACTGTCATAACATTGAACTGAACTATGTTGCACTATAGAATTCTCCACTTACAAAGCTCATTTATGACATCCAAAAAGTCTGTTTCTTATGCTTGTGAAAGTTACTGATTATACAGATATTACCTCAGTATACATGCACTGGTATCAAACAGATCTTTCAATGATGTTTCTGTATTTTCAAAGTTGAATACTTGTTTTCATGCAAATATTCATATAGAGGTAATAATTATAATATGATTGAGATTATCTCAATGTTTAACTGTGGATAGCCATTTGTCTTAAAATGACTTAAATATAAAAGAAAATATAAAGCAATAATTGGAATTTTTACTTCCCTTGTCTTTGTTTTATCTTTTGATGTTTAATGCAAGTTTAATACCTAATTTTATTTAAGACAAAGGTGAGGAGTGAATGCTAGAAAACAGACATGAAGAAGACATGTAACGGGCAAGACATGGGACTGGTGACATCGGGAGTGACGCCACCATAAAGAACAAGAAAAGGGATCGATCGCTGAGTTAAAAGAAAACTGAGCACATCCATCTTGAACCTCAGCAGGAGTCACATGATAGGTACTGAATGTCTGAGAGCTTGACCTCCTCTACAGAAATCGGCTCTTGCATCAGAATAACATAACCAAAGAGAGAGCTCACAGCTTTACAGCTGGCAGAAAGGGGCTGACCCAGCTTCACTCGTTTAGTTGTGAGTTTTGAACCAAGTATTCGAATTTTCTAGACCTCTTTTACCTCATTTTTCAAACTTTAAGTTTACAGTTAGGGAATGTTAGACCTCACCTCTCAAGTTTGCAGATCTGTAATTGGAGACCTCAAAAATTTGAGGAATTTTCCTGAGGAAAATGGAATTCGCTAACCCTTAAACAATGTTATATGTGTATAAACTGATGTCTTGACTGCTCCAAGGTTGAAGGGAAGGGTTTATTGTAGACATGAGGGAGAGAGCAGCCAGAGGCATCCGGAAGAGTGCAGAGCAGGAAGAGCATGGCCATCCAACTGGACTGGAGAGCCAGAGATGAAAAGAGAGAGGACTGCCAGAGACTGCTTCAGTGGGGTTCAGGTCCCAAAGAGGATGTGTGGAGTGGTGGTGGGAGGGTGAATCTGGATGGCTGTGGGGTGCTTATTGAAAAAGCCTTTTATTGCATGTAGGATTATATGGGGGAGGAGGATGTTTGACCTGGGAAGTGACTCGAGATCATTGGTTGAGGAAATCTAGCCAGCATTGACCTTGAAAATAGGCACCACTCAGATGGTTAATGGAAAGCCACAGTCCTCTTGCCAGAGATAAGAATGACTGCTCTAGCAAGCAGGAACTTTCTTCAAGTCCCCCTCCCCCAAGAGATGGAGACCCTTCTTATCCAAATGCCTGACCTTGGGAAAAGGACTTCTGGGGAGCAAACACTATACTACAGTTTTATAGTTGGACTATATGGGACTATTCCCCTTGAAAAGTGTGTACACCTGCATAAGCCTCTCCACCAATGCAACAATCCAAGTCAGACCAAATCAAACCAAATTAGAAAAGCCCACTTTCAATGTGTTCAACGCCTTACAGTCCCCCAGAGGGGAGATTGGGCATTTTAAATACCCTGTAGGAGTGGTCTTGAGTATCTCTCAGGAAGGGGGTTATCATTTGGCAGGCTTTCTGAGATGCAGCAGGGTTTGGAGGGAGATGGGGGAGGGGCCTTGGGTGGAGCTTCCACTATAACATCCCAGACTCTTTGGTACATGGATGCCAGGGGCTGAGGTGAGGCTTCACCGTAAAACCTCTCATGCTCCCCAAAGGGTAGGTCCTGATGTCTTACTCTTCTCTCACTATACCGTACCATTCTGTTTTCTCTATTAACTGAACTCTTGCCCTTAATGGCCTCAGGCTCTGCAACTGAATTGTAGACATGTCATCCTTGGAATCAGGTGTGTCTAGTAAATCTCTAACATTCCTGTTCTTGGTGTAATTAGGAGGGTGCATGAGATTCCTGGTTCTGAGGTGGTGGGCATTTTTTTTCAAAGAATCACTTTGTTTAGAGAAGCTAACATTGTACACATTTTCATCCTTTACCAAATCCCGCACAGAATTTCCCAAAGGGAAAGGCATTAATAGTGAGAATCATTGAAAATGAAAGTCAAAAAGTACTGGAGAGACCGGGTGTCAGTGGCTCATGCCTTTAATCCCAGCACTAGGGAGGCAGAGGCAGGTGGATCTCTTGTGAGTTTGAGGCCAGCCTGGTCTACAGAACGAGTTCCAGGACAGCTTCCAAAACAATACAGAGAAACCCTGTCTCGAAAAACCAAAAAAAGGAAAAATGCTGGAGAAGTGTGGTCTGCAATGTTGAAATGCTGTCACAGGCAGAACCACAGCACATAGAAGGAAGACAAGAGAAGGCTAGGAGAGAAGGGAGATGTCAAGTGTGTGCAGTAGACCAGAGGGAAGCAGCCCCTGGAGTCAAATTCACAAACACATGATCCCTCCATACCTTAGAAGGGTTAGATCCACAGCTTGGTTTGGAGTGGGAGCTGCAGGGGAGAGCTGGTGTATGCCGGGTGTGCCCAAGCTACAGCTGGCCGCCTTGGAATGGAGAAAAAGGAAATAGAGAATGGGGAATTTCTCTCCCAGAGGAACAGGAAGTGAACTGAGACACTGGGTGTGGCTTGAGCAAGTGCCACTCTCTTTGGGGGCCATTTTCTTTCAGACCACCACAATACCCCAAAATGTGGCGATTCAAAACAGACATAAACTCTTTATCTTGAAGTTCTAGAGGTCAGAAGTCTCACTGGGCTGCAGACAGTGCCTGTGAGCTCCTGCAGGAGGCCCCAGAGCAGCCCCAGAGCGCTTACCTGGTTTCTAGAGGGTGCCCCTAAGGCCGTGGCTCCCTCCCGTCACTGCCGCACCCTTTCACTAATTTCTCCCTTCAGCCTTTTGGACCCCAACGCTTCTCTCGTGGGCCGGTTCCACATCTGGTCTGCAGCTGACCTTGCCAGGTGTCCCAGGGCTCTGGCATCTCCAACATCTTGGGGTCTCCCAGGTAATCCAGGCTTCACCTTCAGAGCTTGATGCAATGGTCTCTCTAGGCCTCCATTCAGGGACACCCTAGACACACATGGCTGGCCTCAGCAGTTCTCCAACCCCTTTCTTGTATCCTTGTCTCTAAAGCCAGTTCCATGTGGCTGAAGCTGCCAAGTTTTGCTGCTTGCTAGGGCTAGACTTGGCTTGCTAGTTCAAATACATTTTCACCAGCTCTCTGTTTTGGATATTCCCTTCCCTAAAGTGGCTTTTTAATTCCTTTTCACACGTTGGAAGCTTAGCTAGGTGTGGTCTTACCCTGAGACCTCACCTTTATTCCATTTATAGCATCTGACTTTTCTCTAAACTTTTTATCTCCTTAAGCACAGGATTTAGCTCCATTAAACTTCCTGGTGCTCCTGGAAGAAAGTAATTTAGAAAGCGATGCTATCCCTGGATGCCCCTCTCCCTTCAGACTCCTGGGCAGGTTTCTCCCCTCACAGGCCCAGAAGTCTATTTTAAGAGGAAGAAAGAATTAGATGATGCACACATTCTAAAGTCATAATTTCTATCTCAACCAGAATGATAGTAGTCAGTCCTCCACCTCCAAGCTCAAGAGTGTTTTCCAGTGAGGGTTTAGTAGTAGTAGGCCCAAGAGGAAATAGCTAGAGATATTCCCATACATGCTGATGTTGGGTCCCCCAACGATAGGCCTCAGGCAGCTCACCCTACTGGGAGTCTCACCATGAGCGAGTACTCATTTGTACCTTCCAGGCTACTCGAGGCTCTCGTTTTAAATATGAGTGGGAAGGAATTCAAGCCTGAAGACACTGGAGAAAAGCTGGTGCAGTTTTTTTTTAATGTGCTGAAAATAGAGTATAGGAAGAAAAAGAACCCAGTGTTTTTAGAAGCTGTGGGTTTTTATTACAATGCACTCATAAATTCAAATTTTCAAATATCTATCAGGAGTTACAAATGAGAACTTAGGAAAAAAGTGAAAGGCTCCGTAGATCCTTAGCATAAATGCCTAAAAATAGAATGCCTTAGTCCATCCAGCTCTATAGTAGAGATTCTCAACCTGGGGTCTTTCACATGGGTCACCGGAGGCCATCAGAAAACACATCATTCATAACAGTAGCAAAATAGTTCTAAGGTAGCAATAAAATGATTTTCTGGTTGGGAGCCACCACAACATGAGGAACTGTATTAAAATGTCACAGGGTGAATTTTGGAGAAGATACATTCAAACCATCAAGAAGAAGAATACTAGTGAACAAGATTCGACGAGAAGGTTCTACAAGAGTCCAGGAAACTCAAAAGGACATGTAAGTTCAGATGTTTCAAAGGAAGCTTTGAAAAGCAGAAGACAATGAAGTAATGCTTTCAAGATGATGAAAAAAAAAGCCAGGTGTTGGTGGCGCACGCCTTTAATCCCAGTACTCGGGAGTCTGAGGCAGGCAGATCTCTGAATTAGAGGCCAGCCTGGTCTACAGAACGAGTTCCAGGACAGCCTCCAAAGCTACACAGAGAAACCCTGTCTCAAAAAACCAAAGAAAAAAAAATGATGAAAAAAATATATACAACTTCATATTCTATAGTCAAACTGCAAGTCAAGCATGAGTGAAGAATAAAGAAAAGTTTAGACCTGCAGGTTTATAAAACTTTTACCTCCCATGATTCAAACTCAAGACAATATTCTCCTTATTGCAGACTCTAGCCTATGAATGTATACATGTATATATGCAAACAGACATGGTGTAGTTTGTTGTGCCCAAATTCTGAATCCCAAAATCACCAAGAGGCACATTTCGGCGCAAAAGCAAAAAGTCTTTTATTGTAGATGCTTAATGAGCTAAACCCATTAGCTCGGCCCCTTCACCCCACCATGGCACATGGCTGGAGAAAGACCCCAAGCAACCTCGAGGCAGGGACCTTAAAGGGCAGACAGAGTCTAAGAGTATGAAACAGTCTCAGGATTGTTGCGCTTCTAAGTTTTAACGACCTGCCCTGTGTTGATTGGTCAACGGGGTTGTTATGGCCCATAGGCCCTTCCAGGGGTGGTTGCTATGCTCTGCACATCACTGTTGTACATTTGTCCATAAAGCACACCCAGAGCCGTAAAGTACAGCCCCACCAGCTAACTTCTGATTGGTCCCTTGCTACGAGGAGGGCATCTGACCTCCTAGTGACTAGGGCAGCCCCAGCAAGGCCAGGCGAGCACATGCTAGCCTGTAATGGCTGCTAAAATGGGGGACTGGTCACTACATAATTAAAGTCTAAAAATCTAAACAGAGTAAAACCAGGTGATAAGGAAT